TCTAGCCTCACTATTTTGTGATCACTGGTGCTGTCCTGCTCAAGCAGCAGCAGTACAATCCTAGCACACACAATGTCTCCTTTGGCACAGCCACAGGACAGATACCCTCAACTGTGGAGCAGGGAGGGAAAGGGAATTAGGGCTCCTTCAGAAGCAGCAGAAAACTGCTCCTCCATTAGCAGTTGGCTTCCTGTACAGCTCTGTTTCAGGATGATTTGGCAACATTGGTTTCTGTGAAGCCTTGCCAGCCTATATTCCCTCACAGCCAAGGACTTGGTGACCCAGCAGGAACTGCCCTGCTGCCAGGTATGCAGGAGAGCAAGAGCACTGTCACCTTGCTTGAGAAGCAAGCAACGTACCAAGATCTCCAGCAGAGGAGGAGGGTGGAGATGTCTTCATCAAACAGTAAATACCTCTATCTGTGCAAACCAGATACTCATTTGCCAGCTGATGAGGGTGTGGAGAAGCGGCAGATCCACTGTGCTAGAAACACAGCTCTGGGTCTGCATGAGAAACACCATGAACAGCCCTGAGAATCTCTTGTACTGAAAACGCATGACCATGGCTCTGATGGGGCTGACTGTGAACCACATCTGCATGCTAGCCAAAGTGCAAAGTTCAGACTCCCCCCTGCAAGCAGGAGAAGAGCCTGCCCTGAGGCACTGGTGTGCCTGGTAATGAGGGGGTAGGCAGGAATGTGGCAGCACTGGGGGTGGGCTGTGGGCCTCCAGGAGCAGCAGCTGGGGCTGCTGGGCCCAGGTGAAGCTCATCTATGCTAACAAGGCTGAGGCTGCTGGGTGCAGGTGAAGCTTGTCTGTGCTAACGAGGCTGAGGCTACTTCTGCCCAGGCTGTTGCCAGGGGGGACTGTAGCAGGAGAGCAAGCAGGTAGCCATATGGCCTCTTTGTCTTGGGTGGTGGTGGGGAGACTGGAGAAGGGGCTCTGTGCCTGCTGGCTCAGCCTGGGGAGGGGTCTGAGTGTCTGGGGAGGGTGAGAACAGGTTGTGTATCTGGAGGCTCAGGGCAGTGCTGGTGGGGAGAAACCTGGGGTGGGCTGCAAGGGATAGGAGGGAGCTGGGCAGGAGCCCTGTGGCATCATGAGGCTCTTTGTGAGATGGTGGCTGCCTCGGGCTGTGCATTTCTGAACTTTTTCCTTAATAGTTTCCTAGAAAAAGACCCTGTAATCTCTTTGGGGAGATTAAAGGCTGGGACCTGCTTTCTGGTACTTTCTGGTCACAGTGTGGACCTCTCTCCCCCTTGGCTTACCCTTATGTGCTCTAACACGTGGGAAAGCAGGCTACTCTGCTACGCATCTTACTTCTGGATCGCAGTACCCAGCTCTAATGTGTTCGTTTCCCCAGAGTAGCTGTTTACTTGTCCCCACTGCTGACAGCTATTAAAATTGCAGCCACAGAGCAGGTGGTAAAACTCTTCTGTATTCTTAGTGTTCTAGTAGAAAATACCGGGATGCCTTGAATAATAGGAAATATAGCACACCTTGGTAGAAGCATCTCTAGTTTTGGCTGTTCTCATGCCTGTCCTTGAGTTGTGGTGTGGTGCCTCCCTGTTTCTCCTGTGCTCGTGCTGGGAGATGCTGCCTAAATCCAGGATAATGCTGCTGGTAGAAATGGGCTTGGGGAAGGGCAGCCGTCCTGCTGGAATGGTGCGTGCCTCATGGAAAAGGGATTAAGTGGTTTTCAGGCAGCTTAATCAGCAACCATCTGCTGCACAGACAGGTAAAGAGTTGTTCACAGAGGGTTGGAAGCCCCATATTTGGAGCATTGGGAGATGGTAATGAGGAATTTTGGTCAAAAACTGAACTTTGTCCTCTAGGGATTTTACCGTACCCTTCCAACAGATGGGGTAAAGGTAAGGGTTTGTTGAGGTGCTTTGATCAGAAAAAGAGACCCTGATCTGTGTATGCTCGCTTCTACCCTTAGGTAGGCAAGAAAAACTGAAGTTAAAGCATTTCCAATCTTCAGCACAGCATTTTGCAGAGAGGTAGGTTGGCTAAAAATCACATTTTTCTTTTTTTTCTTCAAATATCCTTCCTATGTATGGAAGAGGGAATTGTCTCCATGAGTCTGTGTATTGTTTTCCAACAGACCAGTGTGTTGACAGAGTAACTCCCACCTTTCTAGTACAACGCCAGCGGAGTTTTTCTTGACTCCTATTTTTGTCTTCTGCATTTTCTAATATGGTGTATAACAGAAAAGAAATCTATCATTTGTGTTAAGCATCTCCTGCAATTGCGCTTAACTATAATGTTGCCTGTGGCTTACTTCAGAGGAAATGCTTTATTTCTATGAGGATTAAACACAAGACGCTGGACTTAACAGCTTCTGCATCCCTGTATTTCAAAGACTTTATGGTTTTTTGCTCATACGTGAGCAAAATGACTGTGCACTTGTTATCTAAACATGTATCTATATTATGCATACCCCGTGGATCACCTCAATAATTAGTTATTGCTGTAATGAGGCAGAATGAGCGGAATCAGAATGACACAATCAGTGGGTAAACTGATTATTTGCCAACCAAAAAACAAACAACACCCTTCATAAATATCAAACACACAATGTGTGAACTTACAGGAAGCTTTGCCATTGTGTTAGGCACCATGGAAACATCTCTTGACGGTAACTGGTCTGTGAGCTTTTGCAGTATGATTCGAGGGACAAGTCTTTGCTGCAAGGAATCCTCTTCTACTAGCAGTTAACTTCTACCTTCCACAGAATCTGGAGTGAGACTACTGGTTAAGAGGTTACTTAGTGATTAAATTATGATAAGTTAATTAGAGAGTAACAGCCCCATGGCTGCAGTTAACTTTGGACAGCATAGAGCTGTAACAAGAAGAAAGATGACTGTATCCTCTGAGCAGCACAGCTGAAATACCGATATCCTCCTGCAGCCTAGTATGGGAGCGAGTGCCTCCCTTTCCTTTTGTGTAAGTGGACTTAAATCTGGTTTATTGAGTGTCTTCTATATCCCCCTTTTTCTTCTTTTTTTTTTTTTGGATTTACTTCCTGCAGCACAACTGTTACATTTGAAGTGGGAAAGGGAAGGTGTTTAGAGTAACATATCATGGGTCTTTTAAAACTGGTCAGCTTTTTGACACTCAATAGCTTATATTGTGTGAATGCTCTAAACTTTTTTTTTTCCCATATAGATATTGGTCTCATTCAAGTAATTATTGTCACTTTAGTACTAACAGCTTGTTCTAAGCTTGCTTGTATATTGTGAGAGCAAAATAAGGCTTAAGGTTTTTCTGTGTGTCTCTGTGTGTTCACCATGGTTACAAAACTGAACACAGCCAAGTCAAGTTATGGCTTGTGACTTTATTGAAGCTATGCATTTTATGAGCTGAAAAAAAGGAAAAGCTCTTTCTATAGTGCTTCAGCTACAGATCTGTAGGAAAATCTTCACTCTTCTGAAACCGCATCAGTAAAATATTTAAGAAAAGGCTAACTTTAGAATGCTTTGGGATGGTAATATAAAAAAAATCTCCTTTTGAAAGGAAATGCTGGTACTGTTTGAATTTTCTTGAAGTAGAGCTCATCAGCCTGTAAATCTGAATAATTCAGTTTTTGACTTCTGCTTTCATTGTTTTTTGTAAAATTATGACTTTATTTATACAACGTGTTTTTTCCTAGATATCTCTGAGCGTAGATACATAGAAATTATATTTATTCTGGGAAATTCAGGGGTCAATCAGTGGACCAAAAAGTATGCTAATGACAAGTGCTCACAGTAAACATCTTAATTGTTTCTTATTTGTTTGTTTCTTTGGCTACTACCACTGTGTTTTTTCTTCAGATATTTGACAGTGACTGACTGCTTCCTTGCTGTTCAGTCACCAAGTATTTAGGGACGATATGATTGCCTGTTGAGTGCTACATAAGCATCAGTGCTAGAGAGATGTTTGAAGCTACAGCAGAGGGTTGCATTGAGAAGGTATTAGCTTATATGTTGGGAGCACAGCTTTCTGCCAGCTGAGATTCCCACAAAACTGCAGTTTGGGATTTGATATTGGAGAAGCAAGGGTTAAATTTGCATTGCTTAGAAACAGAGTGAGTGGGAAGTAAGGGGATAGCTTGTGTTCGAGTGCCCTGGCTTGGCTGACTGTGAGGCTGAGGTAATGCTTGTTCTCTGTTGCATGCTTCCAAGCAGAAGGATGGATTACCAGCAATGCTGGTGTGATGGCAGCAGTGCTCAGGAGGGTTCTTAGGAAATAGCTTCAGGGCTTAGTCTGAGGTAACACATGCTTTTCAGGGCTTTAGATTAAAGCTGTCTGTCATGGTCACAGGGAATGAAATATAAAAATTGTAGGTTTATGGAGCTCAGATGGCTGCTGCAGTGACATGCCCATCTTCTCATGAGCCAGCTTTGGAAAAGACCTTGTTTAGGGCCCCATGGTATGTCAGAATCTACTACTCTTTCTTGTTTCTGGCCTTTTATGTCCCTCTGCCTTGTTTTAAACTCTTGTAAAGCTGTAGTGCTAGGTCATTCTCTATATGCAAATTATGTGCCAGAGTTATGCACAATGTAGTGTGCAGATGAGAGCAAGCAGCTCAGTTCTGTGCCTGACCTCACCTATAGCTGAGGATAAGCTGTTTGCTCACTGCGGTGTCCCGCTATAGTGAGGCTAGTTGAGTGCTGTGTGGTTTGGGATCACGTCCTAGGTTGCATGATATTAAGCTCATGTTCTTTGGCACTGGACAGGAAAAGATCTTTAGGATCTCTCTCTGGTCTTGGACAGATTTGGGCACCTGCAGGTCTTATTTGGATCTCTCCAGTTGCAGGTGTTGTCTCGGCTCTACTAAAAGTAGAGTGATATTAGTATTCTAGGAACATGCACTGGGTTAGAATATATAGTGTGTGTGTGTGTATATATATATATATACACATAGTATAGTCTAAATGAAGACAAAATAGTAGCTAAGGTGTAAAGGCAAAATTCAGCTTCTGTGTAGCACATAACTGTTTTTTATTCCCCAGAAATCATTTTCTTCTATTCGAGTTAAGCAAACAACAAATAAAGTCACACCGGATCTCCAGCTCCAAAAAGGAAGAAGTGCATTTGGTGTTCCTCTGGAAACTCTCATACAGGAAGAACCACAATGCAGAGTTCCCTTTCTTGTGACACAGATGGTGGAATACCTAGAAGTATTTGGTAAACTCATGTTTTCTCTGCTTTCATATAGTCGTTGTGTTTTCTTAGATGGGCCTCTGCTCTATGAGGAACAAATATTTACTGCACAGGCAATGCAACCAGTGCTTACAGTTTTGTATTTATTGCCAAATAGGTCTAGAGCGTGTAGGTATATTTCGAATCAATGGCTCTGTGCATAAAATCAAGGAATTGAAGCAGAAATACAATCGAGGGGAAGATGTAGACCTTATTAATGATGGAGACGTTGATTCTGTTGCCAGTCTGCTGAAACTCTTTCTGAAGGAACTCCCAGTGGCTGTTTTTCCAGACCATCTATGTGCTGGCTTCCTAAAAGCTTTCCAAGGTATGGAGCGGACATGTGCCAAGGTAATGTCCTTTCTCTAACAGTGGCAGATAGACTCATTGCATCTTCCTAGTAAGCAAGAACTTAGAGTTTCCTTGACCTGATACTGATGAATAATTGCTTTTGATAGACTTATCTTCTATTAACTTTGTCTAATTCTGTTTGAGTTTATTGTTACTAACACTTTTGTACTTCACATCAGGAGGCAAGGCCTTCTGCAATCCAGTCCTATGTTCTTTGAGGAGATTTCTCCTCTGCATGTTCTCTTTGTAATTTTGGTGTCTTACCTTATCTTGAAATACTATTTTTTTTTATTTAATCTTATCACCACCTTATTCTGTTCATGCATTTATGCACTCACAGTCTCACTTCTTTCTCTTCCAAGTAGAACATTTCCTATCTATTCACTTACAGAAGCCTTTTTATATATCCCTGTTTCTTCTTACTAGTTTTCATATCTCCTTGGGCAACAGTGAGTGGAATGGCATGAAACCATCAAAATGCAGAGGCAGAATGGGTGCCTGTCTAGCTTCCTGTTCATACCTATAATTCTTATTTGTATAAAGGCCAAAAAAAAAACCCCACTGTCAATCATTTAGCTAGTGCTTTCAGACAATGGTACCCAGTGATTTTGAATGATAACTACTTCAAGTGTTTGTGGATAGATAAGAGGAGTTTGTGGCATTGACTGTGCATTGTATCTGTTCAAACACTGTCGACTAGGTGCCAGGTTAGGTCCATGTGTGCATTTTAAATCTCTTTCAACAGCTGGCAAAGATTTTCTGCAGTCATTCTGCTTTCACTATCCTGAACAGTCTTACTCAGTTAATGGGTATGTGGTGGGTGTTTGTGTGTGTTTTTTTTTTCTTCTCTCTCTCTCAAACAGCATATGTATTATTAGCATTTTATAGATTGTATTTTTTAGTGATAGAATGGTCATTTAGGGTGTTATTTACCATCCATAATGTCAAAGCCACCCAGATGTGTGCTGGAGATCTATTTCTAATAATCATGTAAATATTAGGAATATTTATGTATGTTTACTGCTGTTTCACAGAGCATGAAGTCAATACAACAGAATGCCTGAAGAACCTGAGACAGTTACTGAGCTGCCTGCCCAAAGCCCATCACAGCCTCCTTCAGTTCCTGGCTGCTTTCCTGTTAAAGGTGTCAGCACACAGTGCAGTGAATTTCATGACTCTGGAAAACTTAGCCATTGTGTTTGGGCCTGCCTTTTTTAAGTGAGTACTTTGCTTCTATTTAGCTATTTTTGATGGTGCTATAGATCTGTACTTAAGTATGGTTATCATAACTGTTCACCTATTACTAAGTACAGCATTTTGGAAGCTAAATGTCTATGCAGTGCATTATGGGCAGGTGAGAACAGACCGAGCTAGCTGGATACCTTGACTCTGTTAGGCCCTTGCATATATATATATATATATGTGTGTGTGTATATATATATATAGAGAGAGAGAGACAACTTCAAGTAGGAAAACACTGAAGAGGTATGGGAGGTGTAAAGCTCTTTGGATAAGAAATATTTCCGTTTTCCTAGCAAATTGTGTGCTAGCTGCACAGGCTACACAGTGGTGACATTGATGTTGAAAAGTCCATACTCTTTGGGACTTCGTAATAATATTTGTTATGAGATGAAGAAGTCTTTCCTGTGGAGCAAGGCAAGTATTTCATTCTCCTGTTTTCAAGCTTTTTAGTGGCACCAACGTATGCAAACATTGCGAGTTGCTAAGGAGAACAGAATTGGCAGGTCGTAAAATGGTGGGCTGAAGCTAGGGAAGGTAAGTGAGCAGATGCATAACTAGATTCTAAAAAAGGATTGCAGACAAGTCAAGGCAGTGAGAAGAAACAGCCTAGAGTAGTTTCTGACAGGAGTGAATTTTCCAGAGAAACTGGAAAATTGGGAGATGATCCAGTTACTTCTCAACATGGCCCTTTGTCTGGCTTTTAAATTAAACTTAGCACTAAAACAAATGTTTGTGGCAATGACCTGACTGGGAAGTCTTGCAAACAGCATCAGACTTTCTTGGTTTCCTTGCCAGAATGTTTTGTCAAGACAATGCAGCTACTATAAATAGTCATATATTTCCCATCTGAACATTATCTCCAGCTCTTTTAAAGCCACTCTGATGTGGCAAGTCAAACCTACCAACATTGAGAATGAAATTGTATTTTTCCTTTATGTCTGTCTGAGCAAGACAGTGCAATTGAACAGAATATTATTAAACATTTGGCACCTAAAGTGTAGATTGACAGAAAATAGAGACAAGTTAGATAGTTCTCGCTGTATTTGTAAAGTCAGAGCATGAAAGTTGTGGAAAAACAACTTTCTAGTTTGCTACTTTGTGTATGCCATGAAATTGTTGGAAATAGCCTTCTGGATGTAATGGTAACTGTGCTGGAGATGCTCTAATTCCTCCTAGGTGTTCAAACTGCTTGTATTCATTCTGGCCATTTGCAATGTTATGCAATTAATATTCCCTGCTTTGAGTTTAGCAAAGTAGGCTGTTTATAAACCTCTTTATTTGAAATTTATATTCAAGTGTAAATTCTGTGATTACTTCCTGTCTCAATCTGTTGACACATCTGCAGAGGCCTGTCACGTTTCAATGTTTTCTAGAGTTTCCCACCAGCAACTGAGTTAGAATATTCAGTAGTTGGAACATGGAATATATATGGGCTTTGGGGACATTAAACTAGAATGTAAAACTTGTCGCTGATTGCACTTTACAAAACTAAGCTGCATGTCCTTCATAATTAGTAACTACAGTAATCACAAAACACAAAATATAACCCTTAATACAATTATTAAATTCAAAATCTCATTATGGAATTGCAGAAAGCTCCTACTATCCTGAATTTTAAGTACTGGAAAACTAATATCACAGTTCACATGGAAACAGAGTATGAAAGAAACTCTTTTCATCTATTGCAGCAATTCACTTTAATGCTGCTTGTTTTGAATATTTATTGAGATCCTTGTCACCCATGACTGAGGATGGGACGCCATCGATAATTCAAGCCAACTGCAGAGCCGCACCTCATATGGCATTGAATTGAGAACGTGACTCCCCTTTAGAAATTTTTCTTTGTCGTTGAGAACTGGCTGTCAATAGAGCAGGCTAGATTAGTTGATAGCATTTCCATAGATGTCCTCCCAGCCTCCAAATAGTTCCCATGGGGAATACATATAGTTTGTTCAGGAAATGAAATTACAATTTCATATAATGCGTATCCTAATTTTAACTGATTCTGACTTGGACTACTTGCATGTGTAGTGTAACTACTGCTTAAAAACACATGCATGTGCAGACATGTCTGCATGGACACGTGCACACATGGCAAAATGTGAGTGTCTGGAAGTTACAGTGCATATGATTGTTGTCTGTAAAATTATAAATTATTACAATGAAGTAGACTGTTATGTAGTTGTTTTTCCAGACCATTCCCCACCAGCTGTTTGCTGCCTTACCAAGGGTGCTGGAGGACTGTCTGGGTGACTCATTATTTGCTTGTGACTTGAGGGCTGCTAAACTTAATCCACCTGCTCTTTCCTTAGCATCCCTGTGAGTCCCATGGCTTGTGAAGATCAAAGGCTTTACAATGGCTTGCTGCTGTATTTGCTGCAACACTATGAGATGCTTTTCACTGACTTGGACCCTTGTTTCTCCCTGAAACAAGCAGACGACCCTAAGGTGAGAAAGTTACATTGATTCAGTAAGGAACTGAAAGTATCTCATTAGATTGTAACCTACAGATACAAATATATTTGTTTATGCATAGAGTAATTAATGACTAAACTCGTGTTGCTAGCAAGAAGCTAATCAGTTGCATGCCAAAGCAAGAAGGGAAATATTAGTGTTTAATTTTTGATTTTTGTATAAAATGCAAGTGGAAAAAGTGAAAGGTCAAGAAAAAAAACCCAAGTTTTTTCCGTTTGAAATATATTTGTTTTGTCCAATGCCATTGGATTTTTCTTCAGGAAAAATACTCTGTACATGTGATTGGCTATACATTGGTGAGGGAAGAAAGTCAAGGCAGGAGGAGTGAGATCTCTCACCTTTTCAGATGAAGTCATTGAGTATGTTCAAACTCTCATTGCATACGTTCTTTTCTAAAACCACGTTTCTACTTTGATTCCTTGTTTGCCATGTTTGTCAAAAGCGTTCGGGTGAAAGAAGCTGTTATTTACTGGAAAAAAAGCCTGAAGGAAATGTAGTAGAAAAAGCTTCAGCGTAATGTTGCACCATGCAGTTATCACACATCCTTGCAGTTCAGGAATGTTTCAGTGTAAATGTCCCAGATCAGGTAAAGGGTTATGAAAGATTTTTTTACTGAATGTAATTCTGGGTCATGGTGCTAGAGTTTGTGACTCCTTACTTCCTCAGCTTTGTATATGTCCAACTGGTGGACTTCTAAGGCAAAGTGCCAGTCAGTATTTGTGGCATACCATATGTTCCAAAGCAGAGTATTGGGGCTTAAATGCCTTTTTTTTGTGTTTCTTGGGGCACCTCTTTTAAAAGAATTCCAATACAGTCCTAGGTGCAGCAGACAGCATGTGTCAATGTGAGGGCATTTCTGAAATATTCCTCCCATGTTACAGGATGTGGCCCTAATTTAAAACTAGGGTCATTTAATGTTAAAACAGTGTTGGAGTCCACAGCTCTAGCTCTGCTCGTACTTTTCCCTCTGAAGGTGGTTAATGCCAATAGGATCATTGAGAAATCCTGCAACTTGTACACAAATAATCATTCAAGATCAAAACTTTTCTGCTTCTGTGTCTAAAACTGGGTAAAATGTGAAGTGTCATCAACTAAATGAAACTGGAAGGAATTTGAGAAGCCAGGAGCCTTGCCTTTCTATTGCAATGCCTTTGTTTCAGAAGCAACTTCACTCCCTGTAGTTCTGTAAAATGTCATGGTCTGTTTGGGATTGTGGTGATGTGGGATGGAATTCTGCTGAAAAGATCCTTTCAAGTTGTTAATAAAACCCTGGTGAAGGCACAGCCGTGAGGCACTCTCCTGCTCTGAGGTAAGCTTATGAAAGAAATCCCATCTGTGGGTGAGAAGGGAATTCAATCTTCTGTGGTTGATCTTGTTTTTGTAATTTCTGGCAGGCAACCCACCACATTGGATAGGTATGGTTCATCTTTGATAATAGAACAATTGCTCAAAGTCTGTTAAACTGGAAACATTAAAGTTAGGTTTACAAACTAAACATGAAAAGCATATGCACTAGTTCCAGCACAGCAAGCAAAAAATGAAATGGCAAACCTGGCGTAGCTCCTTTGTTGCTTCCTGGAAATGAAACTTGTTTTTACTGGCTGTTTCTCTTGAAATAACTTAAAGCAGTCACACTGATACTTACACCCGGACCACTGCCTTGTTACTGCCTTATACTGCCCTAATTAGCAAAGCCTCAACAAATTAAAGCCATACCAATCTGTCAGGCAGGCTGTACAGCTAATGTATACCTTACCTTCAGTTTTCTCATTTGTAGCCTTAGAAAGACAAGAGCCACTGTTCCTGGGCAGAGGTCTCAGTACATCTAGATATGCTGAGGGGTGTGCAGGAGTGGCAGTCCCTATCACTCCATCTACTCCAGTCTGCAGCCTCATTCAAGATAACTGTTTGTGGGGGAATAAATGCCAGTTTTTCAGAACACCAATCCAGTGGTTCAGAACTTTTACTCTGGGTTGGATAGTTGACTGTTTAACACATATCTTCCATCTGAAAATGATGGTTAAAAGATACAGATGAGATATTATGTGTTTTAGTTTGCCCTTTTCCAGGTTACTGTATGCTATGCATTCTGTTTTCCCTTCTTAGTATATGCTGGAATGCTGTAATATCCTGACAGGCCCTCTTTAATGTCCAGCATCATGCAGAAGAGTTCTGTAATCTGGTCTAGTTCACAAGCTGTTCTAATACTCAGCTGACTTTTCAATTTCATTTAAATCATTCTTTAAAAAAAAAATAGATAATTTGGTATGTGTTTTGACCTGAGGCCTCTCTAGATAGCTGTTTTCAACCTGAAGCATATTGCTGTGTTGGAAGTGTAGAAGAGCTTAGCGTCTAAATGTAATTAAATTGTAATTAAATTATGAACTAACCTTGCTCATAGCAATTTGTCATGCTCTTTGCTCTCAACATTTCTGGATCTTTTGTTCTAGGTTGTTAATTATGGAACTTTTTGCATCTGGGTGGGCTGGATTTGTTTGTTTGCTTTTTTCAGGTCCTCCTTTGGTACAGCACCTGTAGATTTCTACTCCCTGAATTCTGCCCTTGTCCTATTGGCAAACGGAAACGTGACTCTGTGGGTGTGCACGGTTCGCTGCGTGCCCATCCATCAAAGCACGGGTTACATTAAAGGGAGCCTGCTCCCAGAGGGAAACGCACTCGTTTCTAGCTTTATTTCTGCCCTTTATGCATGCTTCTCTTTACAGGAGCAAGGCTGCAGGGTCCTGTTGGGTGGATTGTCTAGCCGGTCTAGCAGAGGTGGAGCTGTGCCGCAGAGAGCGGGGAGAGCCTGCGGGCTGGTGAATGGAGGGTGCAGCCTGTGCCTGGGAGGCTCTTCCTTAGACCTGCGGGGTCAGGCCGTGGCCACCTGCAAGTTGGCCCTTAAACTGTACAGTGTGGCTTTGCCTTGGTTGGAGCTCTGCAGCTAAGTATTTCAAGAAGACTCTATCTCTTTGAATTATGGTTTTGTTGGGAAGGCTTTTGTGGTCTAGAGAGTTTTGACAATCTCGGGGTTTTATTCCTCTTTCAAAGAGGAAATGGGTGTTTCAGCATTGACCCAGTTTTGTGGAAACACTCAGTGCCTTGCTTTTATCCAAAGCTGCAATAAAAGAGAGTTGTGGTCTCCCAGACAGACTGTCTTCAATTAGAAGGATGGCTGATGGTTTAACTGGAGTTTTCCATTACTATTCCCATGACAATGCTTGTGAAATTAGTTGATATCTTTTTTTCCCCCCTTCCCCTCCACCCTTAAGCAAGATCTCATTCTCTTGTAAACTGAGATTTCCAGGTTAGATTGAAATGTCTTGTCAAAGTCATTTTTCTTGGATAGGAGAACATTATTCCATTCCTATTTGTGGCTTTTAGCAATATTTACTTAGTTTAAATTGGTACAGTTCTTGACTCTCCTCATTTAGCTTTGCTTAGCAAGGAGAAATTTTAATTGGGTTTACACATGAACGTAGCAAATCCCGCATATTCCACATGAAGTGACAGGAGATTTGTCAGTGCTTTGGAGGGCTTGCTGTTATCTTGTAGAAGGATTTCTTTATATTACTTCCATTTCCACAGAAATAGGTTTTCCCTAACCTTTGTAAATTAGCAAAAGCATGGGCTCATTTAATGTTAAGTTTTATCTTTGTGCTTGGGTAATACCCAAGCCAGAAGGCTGAACAAAAAATGCCCTGCGTGTAGGATCAAAGTAGGGCCTGGATCTCCACAAAAGTTGTGAACAGTGAATTTTAAGGGTGTAAATTTTTTTTCTGGAAAAATGCTGGCTTTTTTATTGATTAGAGCCATGAAAATTTGATGAAGTGCTCTGTGGCCTGGGCAATGATGATGCTGAAGTGAGCAAATGGAGCAGCACGGCTGCTAGTCCAGATCTGTCTTCTGTCCATCGCTCGGCAATGACAGACAGACACGAAAGGGCAAGAGAGACAGACACAGAGTGTGTGAGAGGTCTAGAAAGACCTGCTCACCAGTGCCAGCTGTCCCTGGCTCGGGAAAAAGTCCCTCCAGCCACCTGCTCTGAGGTCTCCGTCTGCCTGCGGATACCTGCTCTAAGCTCTGCGAACAGAGTCATACTCAGACTTGGCAAATTATATTGATTACAAATTAAGGAGCGTGATGTGCAATGGGTGGAGGGGAGCAATATTTCCTGTGCGGAGGGCAGGTGGTTGCTTGCTTTGCTTGCTGTGGTCAGCTACGCTGCCAGGAAGAGGAGGGCAATTAATCAGCTAGTGCCTGCATTGGGATGACAAAAATATCTGCTTTGCTCTGATGTGCTCAAACACCCAACCACAACGCCGGGCCAGGCACTTGCCGCGCACGGTTTTTCATCCGTCTCAAGCCTGCAGTGGAGACGGAACCGGCAGTTTTCCTCCACTTGGTGTCAGCATTGGCCTCTGCTGCTCCAAGGTGGATTTGCTTTGAAATAACCAGGATGTTTTAGTTCTCAGTACCTGCCTTAGCATTGAGTATTTTCTATTTTTGTAAGGCAGCAGAACGTCAGCCTGTTCCTTCCTTGGATAATTACTGATATCAGAGAAGCATGAAGGAAGGGTATGAATTCACCTCCAAACTGTTATGAAATGCAGGCCTTTTTTATTTTTATGCTGGTGTCACCTTTCTCCAGCAAGATTATCAGCAACATCTATTGTCACTCTTGTATTCCTTTTCCTTGGTGTACATGAACAACTTGATTTATTCTATCAGGGCTCTTTGCCAGAACATCAGAGGAGATTTATCCCTTGGGAAATTAAAACTATTTTTGCTGAAGGCCTTGCGATATATAGGCATCAAAATATTTCAGGCTTTTATTTGTCATTGGCTATAATAACAGGAGAGAGAGCCCCCCCCCCCTTTTTTTGTTTTTTTTCCCCAGTCATGGAAGGGTAAGGATGACAATGGGAGATGTGTACAGAACAGATAAAAAGTCAAGAAATGTAGAATAAAAATCA